AACAAAAATTACATATAAAATTTTATTATTATTATTTATATAAATTTATTATTCAAATGTTAAAAAAATAAAACGAAAACTATTAAAAATAAATAGATTGAGTATTAAAATTCAAACGGGTTGAGTATAATTTATCTTTTTCTTTTTATTTCTAAACTAGTCTTGGTTTTTTTCCAATAATAAAAAAAAAAAACATTGTCATGCATAAATAATTGTGTTTGGTGATTTTTCAACTTCTTTTTTTCTTCTGATGTACCATACACATTTATGTTTGTATTACCAATAGTAATAGTAGAGTATGGCTCAATATTTTAAAAACACATTAAAATTCTGCTAGGACTCATGAGTAGGAACACATGAACAAAGCTCAACTCCTGAGTAGAAACTCATAAATAAGGTTAGATAACCTTACCTATTGGCTTTAATAGTAAAAAAATATTATTGATAAATAAGTATTTTTTTGCAAATTTGATCTAAATCTTAAATCTTAAAATTAGTACCTAAGAACATTAGTTTCCTTGAATATACCAAACTTATGTAAGAAAGTTGGATTTAATAGTAAATAAATGTTATTGATAAGAAAGTATTATTTTGTAAATTGGATCCAAGATTCAAATCTTAAAATTAGCACCTAAGGACATTAGTTTTCTTGAATATACCAAACTTATGTAAGAAATAAGCCCTTAAAATTATCTAGAAAGGAATTAGTGAAAATTAATTCAAAAAACACTCTAATCATAAATACCAAACAAAATAAAAAAGACTCGACACAAATATTTCATATATCATTTTTAACTTAAAAAATTAACTGATTAGGTTTACAACTATTTAATTATGTTTATTTTTTATTATATCAATAAGAGTTTAATTGAATTAATATTGATTAATTTACAACACTATGTAACTAACTTCTAATATGTTAAAAAAAACTTCGTTTAAGAATACTTTACGCAACATTTTTCCCCTAACAACATATTTTTGTTGTCTTTCTATCAATTTTATCCCCTAAGTTTGTCCAACTAATATTTTTTTAATTTTTCTCAACAAATTAAATATGCATAAAACAAATATTCAAGAATTAAAAATATGCCACAAGTATTAATTCAGAGACCAAGAATGTGCTTTAAACAAAAGTTTTTGGGACCAAAAATTACCAGTTATACAAATTTAATGGACAAAACTTTATTTGACATTTAACCGGCTAGTATTTCGGACGTCCATTAATATTCATTTCTCCGTCCATCTAAGAGCAATGACAAGCCCTCGGCCTCCCTCTAGCTGATTGAGTTCTTTTATTTTTCTTCCTCCATAAGTACTGCACACTTAACTAATCAAATTGTCGTTTGAGTACGCATAGCACTGCTAGTCCGTATTTTGCTGATCATGCTTGTGTTGGCACTGATGGTCCCGACCCTTAAAAACTGACCTCCTGGCTGGCTCCTGCCCAAGATTTTAAGTCTTGGATCTTTCAGCATCGAGTAGAGAAGGCTAGGGCTAGCTAGCTGCCTCCCTCACTGTTATCCAGGGGCTCTTGTTTAATTTTCATCAGACATTACGCAAGCTTCATGTTGAAAATTTCACATGGAATTTAATCGGGAAGAGTTGTACCATAGACATGTTCATGGCCATCCTTAATTAGTGTTTAATTGGAGGTACCCAGGTGGGGGACAACCCTAAGGTAGGCATTGGCATACAGTGCTAGTACATATTCTAAGGTAGGTGTAGGCATTAGCATACAGTGCTAGTACATATTCTAAGGTACGTGTAGGCATTAGCATACAGTGCTAGTACTCTGGTTTATGAACCTACTACAGTACTACCGACCATATCTATACATTACTTTTTTGATGCCTACTGCTATAAATAGGCTTGAAACTTGTAGAAGTGTGTGGGATTTTATAAAGTAATCAATTTTGGAATTTAATTGAGATTTTGAGATTGGCCGGTCTTGAAATTGTTATAAAATATTTTGTCGTGTATATATATATATATTTA